GGGAGCTGTGGGGAGCCACTAGCCTCCAGGGTTCCTCTTCTCCAAATGATGGGGGGTTGAACTTCTGGAACTGGAACATTCTTTTAGCTACCATTGTTTTCCCTCTCCCACCATAGTTTGAATGTTTGTCCCCCTGACTCCATGTATTGAATTCCGTTCCTGATACCCAGTGATAGTGTTAGCAGACAGAGCCCATGAAAGGACAAAGCCCTCATGAATAGTACAGTCTTCTTTAATTTTTTATTACAACATCATTATCTACCAAGTTGTTCATAATAAAATTGCTTCAGGCATTAAATGTTCCAACATTAATCCCACCACCAGTGTGCTGTTCCTTCCACCAATGTCTTCAATTTCCCAACCACCATCCAGCTTGCCTCCTTACAGGAACAAATAAATTTGCTTCAAATTGTTTGTTGTGAAGGCAAATGGAATTATCAAAACCTAGATGAACAATATTCAATTTATGATAATTGTTATATTTCACACTGATGTTACTAAAGTTATTTTCTACAGATCCTTTGTGCTGATTAGTGCTAGTTGAGCTTTCTGTGTTATTACTAAGTATCAATGGGTTTAGTGGTCTTCCATGCAACTTTCCAATCAGATTTGTTGTGATCCTACTGGACTTACACGACTATAAAATTTTGAGGTGTCACATGGCCACCTATGTGGCCTCATGGTCCAGTAGCATTAGATCTAGAACCATTTGGTGGTTTGGCAGCTTGCTGAGCTTCTGTTGTGGAGCTGTGCTATTTCTGTGTTGGAGGGTGTCAGATATGGTTGTGCCTTCAGGCAGAAAGAATAATCTTTCAGTCCCATGATGAGAAGGCCCCAGAGTTCTTAACACGGACCAGTATACCTGGGGAAATTTGGCAATATCATATTCTTTTGGAGATTTGACACTGGGCCTGTTATAGTTTACTTAACAAGAAAATCCAAAGAGTTCCCTGAAGCCTTGCTTCTGTGAAGATACAACAAGAACTATGTGACCTGGAAGAAGGCCCTTTTCTACCCACTGTCACCCTGATTTTGAACTTGTAGCCTCCAGACTAATCTTTTTTGTCTCAAACCCCAGTCTATTGTATTTTGTTATGATGGTCCAATAGGACTGAGGCATCTCCTTATAAAACTTTCTGATGGGGAAAATAAATTCTATTGATTGGAGAGAAATAAAAAACATTAATAGTGCCACAGCCAACCATAGATGATTTTTTTCATCCATATATGAATTCTAATTTTTACTGGTATCATCTGAAAGGGGCAGGGGGAAGACAAAAAAATGTGCTGAAGACAGGGATGTTGTCAAGACAGGTCCCACAGGAGAAGAGAATACAACTGCAGTGAGCCAGCTTTCTGCAAAATTCTGTCTGACCCTGGAAACTCTCATTTTTTTTGCTTTTTGGGTCACACCTGGCAATGCTCAGGGGTTACTCCAGGCGTTGCACTCAGGAATCACTCCTGGCAGTGCTAAGGGGACCAAATGGGATGCTGGGAATCGAACCCAGGTCAGCCATGTGCAAGGCAAATGCCCTACCCGCTGTGCTATCCAGACCCCAAGGCTGGAATTTCTACACTGTCTCTTCCCTAAGATGGAGCTCTTATTCTTTCCCCTCTTTGTCAAATACATATCAGTGACCTAACAGAGAAAGAAATGTGAACTCAGGCGTCACAGAAGAACAAGGTTAGCTGAGGGCCAAGTTTCCACATCTTTAGAATAAAAGATTAGAGCCAGGATGCAAGATGACCTTCCTGGGCAGCACTGTGGGTCTTTCCTTAGAGCATCCTTCCTTCTTTCAACTCCACACTGCCACCTAGTGTCTCCAGGGCATATCCTAGGCCTCTCATTTTTGTCTCCCACTTTTCCATTACCCACAGCCTCCCCAACCCCCTACACCCCATCCATCGTCCTCACTCCACTATCTCACACAGGAGATCAAATATTTACTTAGCTTCCATAATTACCCTGGAACATAAATATATCTAGAAACTTTCTGATCTTAAGAAGTTCTACTGATCAATTTAAATTGTTGATCAATTTAAACTGCTGCTGTATGTGAGCCTATAGCTCTTTGCACTTACGAGAACCCGGCTGAGCACATGCTTTGCAAGCAGGTGGCCTATGTTTGGGCCATTGGTTCCCCAAAGGGCCAGTGCCAAGAGTGACCCCTGAGCACTGAGTCTGAAGTAGTCCACAAGGTCAAGGAAAAAATAAATTTAAATTATTCAAAAATTAAAATATATATTAAAGACCATTGAAAGGGACTAGGGAAATAGTACAGTGGATAGGGAGCTTGCCAAGCACATAGCTGACCCAGGTTTAATACCCGGCACCACGTATTGTCCCTTGAGTCATGCCAGGAGTGATCCCTGAGCACAGAGCCAGGAGTAAGCCCTTAGCACAGTTGGGTGTGGCCCCCAAAAGAAAAAAACAAGACTATTGACATAAAAGAAAAACACAGTCACAGTCACATGGAACATTACTCAAATACACCAAGCAATATCAAAAAAAAATCATTCTGAGACACTTCTATAATCGACCAATTAATCTAAACTTGTTGTGGGCTAAAGTACTGAATTTTAGTGTGCCCTTGGATAGTGGAAACATTCTCAAAAAATGACCAATCCAGTGACTGCATTGTCCAGTTCTTCCTGTAGTTTGTGTCAGAAATGAATCTGACTGCTGAGGAGAGCACAGGACGCCTTTATAGCTTCTCAGAGATGCCCACTATCTTACCAAATCCAAGGCCCTTGTGCTACTCCCAGAACGTCCCTAAGAACTTCCTAAATGGTTTTGAAAGAGTTGTCATTCATAGATCCTACACAGGATCCTGTTGTTCCCACCGGGAACCTCTTGAACAGCCTTCCAGAGCACCTACTGGCTTGCTAAATGAAAAATATCAAGAACAGCCCTTCTGTGGGGGTTGGCAGAAACAGCCAGGACCCAAAACCACCACAAGTAGCCCCTGCCTTGGGTGATGCAAAACTGAAAGTGTAAGGGTGATATTATGTAGCAGGTGAAGCCCAGAGACTGAAGACACTGTGGTCAACCTTGATCCCAACTCTCCCCTTTGTCTCTGATCTGTGAGAGGTCCTGGGCCAGCACCTGGAGTCATCCACCAAATGCAATTCAGAGCTGGCATCATTGTCTCCTTTAACATCAGAGTGTCCTACAGTCTTTCACAAACTCCTCCCCAAACAATGGTCATTGTTATTCCTGTTATTAAAAAAGGGGACTCAGCTCAGATAACCTGTCCAAGATCATGTAAAAGGAATGAGATTGGGAGTCAGGTATTTCAGGTACAAGGCTGGTGTTTCTTCTTCTACCTGGATAGGTAAGATTTACTCCTACAGCCACCAGTATCACTGTGATCCTCAGGGAGGGGGAAGTTCCAGCGCAATTTGAATGGCTCAGACTGACAATGGACCTAAGTTCTGTTCCACTGGGGCAGATAGGCATGGAAGAAGGGGCTGGATGTCTGGACTGACATAGACAAAAGAGCAGAGTGAGGGGCACCAGGGGATTTCCCATTTGCCCTGAGCTTAGAACTCATGTCCCACCCTCTGGTTCCAGCACAGAAGGGCTGGATGCTTTACTCACTTACAACAGCCCTCAGCTTCATGCTCTTTCCAACATTAAGGGTATTTTAGATTAGAAGTAGAGTTTGTGTGGGAGCACGAATCCTGCTGGAGAGGATGAAGAAGAGCAGGACAAAGGCCCAGTTTCTACCTTGCCCTCTGCTCTCCTGATTTCAGCACTAAGGAACTGCAGGTGCTGTGAACAGTTTGACCATGACAAGATTCACTATTCCCGCACTGAATAAGGGTTATAAGTGTCATTTTCAGAAAATCCCCACAATTCTTCCAGAGCTTTTGTGTTTCCCAATTGTCACACCATTTACATTTGCTGCAAAGTCCTGCGAGACTAGAGCAGGAAATACCTTAGAAAGCATCTTTGTTCTGCAGGTGAGGAGACTGCGCTCCAGAGAGAGGTGACTTTCCCGTCATCATACAGACATACTGAAACAGAGCTGACTTTCCCGCCCTGGGCTCCTGACCTCATCAGAGCATGTGATACCCAAGGAACTCTGAAGCGCCAGGAAAAAATCCAGAGGCAGTACCACATCACATCTTCCTAACCATGTTCCTCTGGGCAGCCCAGAGTGAAGAAGGACTCCAGATCAGGGGTGGGATTGGGGAGGTGAGCAGCAGTTCCTATTGCCATTGGGGCTTTCTTCCCCATTTAATTCTGTCTCTCTGACTTCATCTCTCCCTTCCCAGCCTTTCTCTCTTCACATTCCACTTCCATGGGTCATATCACTGGGATTATGTGATGGGATAAACCTACAAACGAGCAGGTATAACAGTCTGCCCCGTTACCCACCCTATAAAGGGAAACTGGTCTGGGAAGAAGAGGGACTAGCATTGTCAGAGCTTCTACTAGCTTCCAGGGGTGAACTGAAACCTTTTTCTCCCTTTGGTAGGCAAGTGAGCATAACAGGGAAAGCCCTGCCCACTAACACGCTCACTTTTCTTTATTGAAAAGAAACAGAATGAAATTTGAATAACAAGTCCAATAAATTCCTCCTCAAGCATCTTTCTCTCCCCTGTCCTGGTTGTGCTGGATTGTGCCACTCAGGTTAGGATGGAGAGTTAGCCAAGGTAGGAAACCAGCCTCCCCGCTCCTCGTGGCCCCCAGATAGGACAGGTTAGACCCACCCCAGAATGGGGGCACCTCGTCCACCTTTACCATATGACCGTGTTCTCCCACATTCTGTAAGTGTGGCAGGAGCAGGGAGGGCCTCTAACTCCAGGTGTGGCATTGGGGGTGTATAAAGGCTCCATAGACCCCAGGGGCAGCTGAGAAATCAAGGGTAGAGAGATCCTGCTTCAAACTGCCACCCTAGTCCCAACACTGACCAGAGTCTTTTTCACAGAACCTGAGATGACAGAGCCCTCCGCTAGCCCTTCAGATGCTGGGGCCGCCCGAGTAGAGCACTCTAAAAGGCGCTGGTCTCCGTGGAGGCTTCGCCCGCTTGCTCTGGGACTTTGAGGGGCTCCATGGTCTCAGACCTCCCGCTGAAGCTGGGGCTCAGATGGAGGGCGGGTGGGCAGCTGGAGCGCAGCAGCAGCGTGGTGCCCCGGGTGGAAAGGCTCCCATTGGAGATCTGCCTGCGCATCTGGGGCGAGGGACCCCCGCAGCAGGCGAGATGGCGGAGGGGGCGCGGCCACAGGTGTCTGTTGAAGCCCATGTAGATCCAAGGGTTGCAGCAGCTGCTGAGGTTCCCCAGAAGCATGGAGATGGTGAAGGCTTGATTGGTTGAATCTGTGGGGGGGACAGGCACGGGAAACCTGAGACCCACCGAGCTCCAAGAGCTGCATGGCTGAGGCCCGCCCAGGGCAGAGGTCTGGGTCACTCCCGCTGGGTCCTGCAGAGAAGCACTGGTGGGACATGAACCTGGAACTTCCCAAACCCAGAGTCTCACCTCGCTAAGTTGTTTTTCTTTTTCTTTCTTTCTTTTTGTTTTTGAGTCTGGCGCCTTAGACCACTCGGCCATCCTGACATATATTATATATAATATAGGGCTGGAGCGATAGCACAGCGGTAGGGCGTTTGCCTTGCACGCAGCCAACATGGCCGACCCGAGTTCGATTCCTCCGCCCCTCTCGGAGAGCCCGGCAAGCTACCGAGAGTATCTCGCCCGCACGGCAGAGCCTGGCAAGCCACCCGTGATGTATTCGATATGCCAGACACAGTAACAACAAAGTCTCCAATGGAGACGTTACTGGGCCCGCTCGAGCAAATCGACGAACAACGGGAGGGTCTTTACCTTTACCTTTACCTTTACCTTTACCTTTTTGTTTTTGGGTGACAGGTTGAGGTCTGCTCCAAGTTGAATTTAGAGGTAGAAGCAATTAGGGACAGGACCAGCCCAAATAGGGCAGGCTGTTTCTTCCACAACCTTCAATTTCCTAATGGGCGTCAAGAGGGAAGCATCTATATGCAGAGGCAATACCAGTCTCCAAGTTGGTTTGGTTAAGGGATATATAAATATATATATATATGTATACAGACATATTTGCCTGCTATGTATATATTATATATCACTGTCACTGTCCTCCCGTGCTTGAGCAGGCCCAGTAACATCTCCATTGGAGACTTCGTTGTTACTGTGTTTGGCATATCGAATACATCACAGGTAGCTTGCCAGGCTCTCCAAGAAGGGTGGAGGAATCAAACTGGGGTCAGCCATGTTGGCTGCGTGCAAGGCAAACGCCCTACTGCTGTGCCATCGCTCCAGCCATATATTATATATAATATATGTTATATAGCACTGTAGCACTGTCCTCCCATTATTCATCAATTCACTCAAGTGAACACCAGTAACATCTCCATTGTGAGGCTTGTAGTTACTGTTTTTGGCATATCAAGGTAGCTTTCCAGGCTTTGCCATGCGGGTGGGAAACTCTCAGTAGCTTGCTGGGCTCTCTGCGAGGGGCAAAGGGATCGAGCCAGGGTCGGCCTTATGCAAGGCAAATGCCCTACCTGCTATATACATTATATACTATATACAATATATTATATATAAGGGTTATATATACATCTTAGTTCCAAGTCTGGAAGTAAGATAGATACAGATATAGATATAGATATAGATATAGATATAGATATAGATATAGATTGAGTAGATTAGGCCTGGAATTAAGAGATGTCACAAGATCCTTCACTTTGGAAACATCTCTTTGATTTGATCTTTCTTTGAAGTCAATACAGTGAAGAGTCAAGAGATTTGCTAAGATCTGACCTGGGAAATGGGTGACAAATTTAGGCAGCAGATTTGTCTAGAGATCCTCAAGTTTCAGTCATAGACAGCCCCTTTGTCCTGGCTGCAACTCAGCTGATAGCTGGCAACAGGGAACCCTAGCTAGGAACCTGCCTGACTCTGAGCAAGCCTTGAAGAAAGTAGCCAGGAGTCTGCAATATAGAGGAACTCAGCACACTGGAAGTTGATGAGTCTCACCCCAACTAAGAGGCCTCCCAACACTTGCTTTTAGTCTGAAAGATCACTCTACAAGAGAACAATTTGCTCCTCTTGAGCAAGGGTCAGCTCAGCACCACAGGTGAATCGTGTAGTGCCAGGAGACAGGCTTGTGATGGTAGTTTACATAGCAGGCAAGCAGGAAAGGCTGCCTTGGCTGGAATACAAAAGAGGCAGAATCCCGTGTTCTTGTGCGGTATTGTGACAGAGCATCTACTTACCCCCGCACCATTTGCTAAGCTGTGATTCTTGTGAGGGAAGTATTGTCATGAATAAAACTGGGACATTTGAGACCTTGTTTCAAGTCCTGGCTCCATCTTTCCTCCCAGTTCCGACTTAATTTTACCTCCCTTAGTCCTGGGTTAGTCCAGGGAAAAGGTGAGAGGTCAGCCCTCAGTAGCGAAAGAACGGAATGAACTGGGCACTCCAAGGAAGACCTTTGTCTCTTTTGTATTTAACAAGCAGAGAAGTCGCACTATGAGTCAGAATTAACATGCTCAGAACTTGCAGGGTCATTTGCAAATTTCCTCTTGTCCAGACTGATGTCCTTTAAAGATGGTCAAGAAGAGATAACTATGGGTGATAATCATATGGAATTGTTCTTGCACTAACTTTACAGGGCTGTGTCAAATTCATAAACCCCTTATTTCCTCTCTCTAGAAAAGCAAAGAATTTGGCTTAAATGGCACAAAAACACAAAGTCCAGGGGATCACTCCCTAAGATCTGGCAGGATTTGGAAGCTTGAGTTTGTTGTACACAACACCAACTATACTATACTCTCAAGCTGTGTAGCACATCCACTATACAGCTGAACTATACTCGACACCCACTATACACCCTGAGCTATACACAAAACCCACTATACTCTCTGAACTGTACACACACCCACTATTACTCTCTGAGCTGTACACACACTCACGATACTCTCTGAGCTATACACTACACCCACTACATACTCTGAATTGTACACTACACCCACTATACACTCTGTACATGACAACCACAGTACACCCTGAGATGTACATGACACCCACCCTAAGCTATATAAGACACTCACTATACACTCCGAGCTGTACACAACACTATCTATACAGTCTTAGATTTACACTACACCCATGATATGACCTGATGTGTACACTACACCCACTATATACTCTGAGCTGTACACGACATCGACTACGTAGTCTGAGTTGTACAGCCATTATATACCCTGAGCTGTCCGCTACAACCTTGACGCAACCTGACCTGTACACTATACCCATGATACCCAACATACATCAGAGCAGTCCTGATCTGCAGACACCCGATGGGTGACATTCCCCAGGCCCCACGTTTCTTGGAGCAGAACCTGCTGTCCCCCTGCTGGTTCTTTTCTACCACCCCGCACTGGAACACACACTTGCCTTCGTCAGGGGCATTCTCATCCCACACAGACCACATCTGGACACTGAAGAAGGGTGCCCAGCAGGCGATGTAGGCCAGCACAATGACAAAGGTCATCTTCACAGTTCGGATCTTGGCCCGGGAAATGGTGCTGATGCTGCTGACCCTGGAGGGCAGTCCTCGTGTGTCTGGGGCAGAGTGGGGAGGCCTGTCCCATGTCCTCCAGCCCCCTCCTTCTGCCCTCCAGGCCTGGGTCTTGACTTTAAGATTCTTCCAGATCTCGTGGCAGATGAGGCTGTAACAGGCTGTGAGCATGACCACAGGAAGAACGAAGATGGCCAGGGTGGTCCAGGTGATGTAGGCCTGCGGCCCCCAAGAGAAGCGGAAGTCTGCCCAGCAGTCCAGCACCCCAGAGCCCCGGATAACCTCACGCAGAGAAAAGATGAAGACTTGAGGGAGGCTGAGGATGGCAGCCAGCAGCCAGGGGGCAGCGATGAGTGGGTAGGTGAATTGGCTGGGCTGCTGGAGGCTGTGCAGTGGGTGGCAGACGGCCAGGTAGCGGTCCAGAGTCATGGCCAGGAGCATGTAGGTGGAGGCGAACATGCTGAGCCCCTGCAGGTACTTGACTGCACGGCACAGAAGGTCCGGGCCCTGGAAGCGGTAGGTGATGTCCCATAGCAGCTGGGGCAGCACCTGGAAGAGTGCCACGCCCAGGTCAGTGAAGGCCAGGTGCAGGACAAACAGGTTCATGCGGGAGCGCTTGTGGCCACGTCGACCCAGCATCAGCAGCACCGTCAGGTTGCCCCCCGTGGCCAGCACTAGGACCGTGGTCAGGACTCTGACCTCCACCTTGGCAAGCTCCTCATCCCGGCCCAGCCAGGGTGTGGTGGCATTGGGGGCAGAGAGGGTACCCCCGGGGGCCGTGGGCTGGGCAGCCAAGGGAGGCCCAGAAGCCATGACCCACGTTTACTGAGAGGGAAGGTGTCAGAGGCTGGGTGGAAAGTAGGAGTGCAAGTGGAGAGAGGTGCAAATGGAGGGAATGGGGCAGGCAGGGAAAGGTTTCAAATGGGCTGGAGGACAAAGCTAGAGAGGAGGAGCAGCAGGTATTTGCTGAAGGTATTTGCTGAAAGGAGCAAGGAGAGGTGGTCAGGAGGAGGCTGTGTGGGAAGGGAAGCTAGAGTTAGCTGCCGCCACTCCAACCCCGACCCACATCCACCTTCTCCGAACTTCTGAGGCAGAAAGCCGTGCAGCTGGGCCGCTTCGGGGTGGCCTGCAGGCGGCAAGCCCGAGGTCCTGGTCCGGATCGCGGAGCGGGAAGCTTTTATGCGCCGCCAGCCCCAGCCCAGCCGCCCGGGCTCGCCGGTTGGCTCCGGCAAAGGGCGGGGTAAGCTAGCAAGTACCCAGGCGGTGCGGGGTGGGGTGGGGGTGATCCTGGACTGTGAGGGCGGAGGGACCAGGACAGAGCCGAGAAAGAAGAAGCTGTCGCGAACGCGCGCCCCAGACTGCAAACAGGAACTCACCTACACCTGGCGATGCTGCTGTGTATCACCTTGTCTGGGGCCCCGGTTACCCTGTGAAAAAGTTGAAAGTTCGCGACGGTACCGGGTGGGCGAGGCAGCGCCCCAACCCCCCTCCCCCAAAAAAACCCGGTAACCATCGTCTGCACGTTAGCAGACACGGTCTGGAGACTTGGGGGGTTGCAGAAGAAGTGGGGGGACATATGTGCAGCGGGGAGATGCGGCTTGGGTGCAGGGAGAGGAGGATCTTGGTGGGAACAGACACGGGAATTTGCAGGTACCACCTCCATTCTCAACCCCCAAAGTCTCAACTCGGATCCTTTTTTTTTTTTTAATTAGTGAAACACCATGAGGTACAGTTGTAGACCTACAACTGTTTGGGTTTCAGTTGTACAATGATCGAGTACCCATCCCTCCACCAGTGACCATTCTCCACCACCAATGGTCCCAGTAGCCCCTCCCCCCTCCATCCCTCCCACTCCATCTCTGTGGCAAGGCATTCCCTTTTGCTCTCTTTTTCCTTTAGGGTGTTGTGGTTTGCAATAGAGGTACTGAGTAGCCATCGTGTTCAGTCTATAGTCTACTTTCAGCATGCATCTCGCATCCTGAGTGATTCCTCCAAACATCCTGTACTTGGTGTTCCCTTCTCTATCTGAGCTGCCTTTTCCCCCAGCATGTGCTGCCAGCTTCTAAGCTGTGGAGCAGACCTCCTGGTACTTATCTCAACTATTCTTGGGTGTTCGTTTCCCATTCTGTTACTCTATATTCCCCAGATGAGTGCCATCTTTCTATGTCTGTCCCTCTCTTTCTGGCTCACTTCATTTAGCATGGTACTTCCCATGTAGAGCCACTTGTATGTAAATTTCAACTTGCCTCCTTTAGGGGCATAGTTGACTCCACACAGTTTACCACCCTGGAAGGCCAAAAACTTGGTGGGGATTATGACAGAATGGAGGCTGTTCACCAAAATCTTTTTTTTTTAATTTAGTCCATGATTTATTTATTTTTTATTTTTTTATTAGTGAAACACCATGGAGTGTACTAAATTTTTAAATAGCTTTTGTATGATGCCTGTTAAATGGTCTTATATATACTAAAAGATACAATTTAACACAAAATATTTGGAAAATTAAAAATAAATTCTTCTTACTGCATCTCTATTTCCTAACTTGTGGTCCCCTGTTTGGTTGCGGTGAAAACTTCCTTGTTTTCCTGCCAAATCTGTGCGTTTGGTTAAGCAAATTTCTGGTATAATATACATGTTCTTGAAGTTGCGGGTCAAATTCTACATTATTTTTAAATTTGTCCATGATAATACACAAGGTACATTGTGTTTATTTAAATATTTCATCATATTCAAGTATGTGATCCAGGTTCTTTAAATAATAACTTGTATTTTCCCTATTTGTTTAAAATGTTACAATGGGCATTCTTCTTATATGTTTCTTTATAATCATGTGTGAAATTTTCAGTTATAAATTCAGAAGTATTTGCTGAATATTAGCATTGTTGTCAATATGTATGAAATTTTAACTTGATATGGACATATCATTAATTTTATCTCTAAATTTAATATTCTAATTTATTTTCCCACCAACTAACTTCACATATTCTAATATCTATACACTAAATTTTATCAATTTTACCAGTTTCAGAAATATAAAGTAGCATCTCATTTTATTTTTATTTTATATTTCCCTTATCACTAATTATCTAGAATATTTTTTCATATTTATTTGTGACTTAATCTCTTCTGTGAGGTTTTTATATTCTCTATGTAATTTTAATTGATATTTTTCAAATTCAAGTAGCATTACATGATAAAAGTTTCAGGTGTACATCATTAAAATCCACATGTGTATGTACTATATTAAGTTTCTCACTTAGAGTCCACTTCTACCCCTTACCATTTCCTCTTTGTTCTTCATTTACCCACCCTTTTCCCTTCTGGTTGTCATGAATTGGTCTTATATACATACATTTTTATCAATTATGTAATAGCACTGTCCATTATAGCACTGTCCTCCCATTGTTCATCAATTTTGCTCAAGTGGGCCCAGTAACGTCTCCATTGTGAGACTTCTTGTTACTGTGTTTGGCATATTGAATACGTCACGGGTAGCTTGCCAGGCTTTGCCATGCAGGCGAAATACTCTCGGTAGCTATACGCAAACAGTGAGAGAGAAGAAAGCAACATGAAAAAAACAATCCCATTCACAATTGTGCCCCAGAAAATCAAGTACCTAGGAATCAGCTTAACTAAGGAAGTAAAGGACCTGTACAAAGAAAACTACAAAACGCTACTTCAGGAAATAAAAGAGGACATGAGGAAATGGAAAGATATCCCCTGCTCATGGGTCGGGAGACTTAACATTGTCAAAATGGCAATACTACCGAAAGCATTGTATAAATTCAATGCAATCCCTATAAGGATACCCATGACATTCTTCAAAGAAATGGAGCAAACACTCCTGAAATTTATATGGAACAATAAGCCCCCACGAATAGCTAAAGCAATTCTTGGGAAAAAGAAAATGGGAGGAATCAACCTCCCAAACTTCAAACTGTACTACAAAGCAGTAATAATTAAAACAGCATGGTACTGGAACAAAGGTAGAACTGCAGACCAATGGAACAGGGTTGAATACACTGACATCTCTCCTCAATCATATGCTCATCTAATCTTTGATAAAGGTGCAAGTAATGTGAAGTGGAGTAAGGAAAGCCTCTTTAATAAATTGTGTTGGCATCACTGGACGGCTATATGCAAAAAAATAGGCTCAGAACTCTGCCTAACACCATGTACAAAAGTAAGATCAAAATGGATTAAAGACCTCAACATCAGACCAGAAACCATAAGGTACATTGAAGATAATGTTGGCAAAACCCTCCATGACATTGAAGCTAATGGTATCTTCAAAGATGCCATGCCACTGGCCGAGCAAGTGAAAACAGAGATAGATAAATGGGACTATCTTAAACTAAGAAGCTTCTGCACCTCCAAAGAAACAGTGACCAAAGTACAAAGACAGTCTACAGAATGGGAAAGGATATTCACCGAATACACATCTGACAAGGGGTTGATATCCAGGATATACAAAATACTGGTTAAACTCCACAAGAAGAAAACATCCAACCCCATCCAAAAATGGGGCAATGAAATGAACAGAAACTTTCTCAAAGAAGAAATCCGAATGGCAAAAAAGCACATGAGAAAATGCTCTACATCATTAATCATCAGGGAGATGCAGATCAAAACCACAATGAGATACCATCTCACACCTCAGAGACTGGCCCACATTCAAAAGAACAAAAGCAACCGATGCTGGCGTGGATGTGGCGAGAAAGGGACACTCCTTCACTGTTGGTGGGAATGTCCACTGGTTCAGCCCTTCTGGAAAACAGTATGGACGATTCTCAAAAAATTAGAAATTGAGCTCCCATTTGACCCAGCAATACCACTCCTGGGAATATATCCCAGAGAGGCAAAAATGTATAGTCGAAGTGACATCTGCACTTGTTTGTTCATTGCAGCACTCTTTACAATAGCCAGAAACTGGAAGAAACCTGAATGCCCAAGAACAGATGACTGGTTAAAGAAACTTTGGTACATCTACACAATGGAGTACTATGTAGCTCTTAGAAAAGATGAAGTCATGAAATTTACATACAAGTGGTACAATATGGAAAGTATCATGCTAAGCGAAATGAGTCAGAAAGAGAGGGATAGACATAGAAAGATTGCATTCATCTGGGGGATATAAAGTAACAAAGTATGAGATTAATACCCAAGAATAGCTGAGATCAGCACCAGGAGGATTACTCCATAACTTAGAGGCCAGCTGGGTATCCTAGAGGAAAGGGCTATTCAGATAGAGAAGGGAGCACCAAATAAAGGATGTTTGGAGGATCATCCCAGGAGGGGAGATGCATGTCGAAAGTAGACTATGGACTGAACATGTTTGCCACTCAATGTCTCTTTTGCAGACCACAACACCCAAAAGGAGAGAGAGAACACAGGGGATTGCCCTGCCACAGAGACGGGGGGATGGGGGGATGGGGGTGGGAGGGATATTATCCATGGTGGTGGAAAATGGGCACTGGTGGAGGGATGGGTATCTGATCATTGTATAATTGAAACCAAAGCACAAAAAATTGTAAATCTACAACTTTAAAAAAATAAAATAAAATAAAGGGGAAAAAAAAAAAAAGAAATACTCTCGGTAGCTTTTTGGGCTCTCAGAGAGGGGTGGAGGAATCGAACCTGGGTCAGCCTGTCTGGCCGCGTGCAAGACAAACGCCCTACCTCTTTGCTATCACTTCAGCTATCTTATGTGCTATCTTACGTAGTCATGGCTGAGTGGTTAATGCGATGGACTAGAAATCAATTATATAAATACATATATATTTATTGTTTATCAAGACACAGGTTATTTCTAA